CTGCCAGCACAGCCCCAGTGTCACCAAATCTCGGAGGAGGGTAAGCCAGGGGCTATCACCACAATGGAGGAGGGGCCGAGGGACAGGGAAGACCCATCTATGCTGCAGCATGGAGTGGGAGGAGAGGCCCCGAGAAGGCGCAGAGCTGTGCCAGTGGTGCCATGAATGAGATGGGTGCCAGGGCTCTGCCACACCACACATGGCAGACACAGAGTACTGGGGCCTGGTTTATTAGTGTCCATGCAGCTGTTCTGACTACTGATCCACATTCTTAACACGCAGGACCACAGGCACTGAGGTGCAGGGGATCATGCCCAAGTCTGTGATGACCAAATCCACCAGGTCTGGGGGTGTCACATCATAGACCAGGTTAAGAAGGCGTAGGGACTTGTTCTCTGCCCAGCCCCCAAGCTGGGCCTGGCCCTTCCGGAGCACAATCAGGTCATCGGGGTCATCTGCAGAGAGTGGAGAAGCAATCAGGATCGGGGAGGGACAGCACTTCTCCGTCCCGCCCCTGGAGCAGCACACAGCACCACTGCCTGCCTGTGCCCCTGCCTGCAAGTGGCCCCTTGCCCAGGGACAGGGATGGCAGGGCCGAGCAGCCTGTTATGGTCCACAGCAGGGACTGGGAGAGAAGGTCCCAAGTGGGAGGAAAGGGACAGAAGCCGTACCCAGCTCATTGGAGACAAAAGAATCTGTCTGCACCCGCTCGCAGAACTTGTAGGTCTCGCAGCAGACCAGGACGGGCACGTTGTAGGCCTTGGAGACCAGTGCAATCTGTGAGGTGCCCACTCGGGACATGACAGAGCCATTGGCCAGGAGCGCATGGGCTCCCAGCAGCACTTTGGACACCTGTCGGGGAAGCACAGGAGCTGTCAGCACCTTTGATGCCACTGCAGTGTCCCTGGCTGTGGCACAGCCCCTCACCTCGGGCAGCACGTAGGAGATGGCGTTGATCATCACGTAAGTGCAGTGGATGCCCCTGCGTACCAGGCGGCGCAGCGTCTCGCGGCCCTCCAGGCGCGGCCGGCTGTCCACCACAATCACGCGGAACGCATGGCCCTTCTTCGCGTGGGCGTCGCACAGGGTCCGGTTCACCAGGGAGGAGCTGCAGGGCGCCCGTCAGGAGCTGCCCCTCCCACCAGAGCAGATATCCACCCTCATCCTCCACATCCTGTGAGTGCTGCCCCTTCCAGAACCCTCCTGCCATGATGGCTCCCAGGGCATGTCTCCCTGTCCTTGCACAAGGCAGCACCCTGGGAAAGGCGACGCCGCAGCGCTCCCTGGAAGCAGCACTGACCTCCCTGTCTGTGACCAGCACAAGGGCTTCTGCCACTCCACACCCTCTACCAGCTTCCCTGTCACAACACTCCTGGCCTGCGTTGGCCTCCTGCCCCCGCTCCTTCCTCTGCCCAGCATACATAGCATACCTGGACTCTTGCTGCAGCAATCTCTGGTTCTTTTCCCCACCTCTACTTCTTGGGATGCAAACTTCTGTATTTTTGCTTCCCAACATTTGACTTTGTTGCAGTTTGTTTAAAATCCAGTGAACCCTGGCCGCTCTGTAAGTGCCCTAGGTGGAGGGAGCTGTGACTCTGGGGTTCTTGGAATCCAACTTGATACCAGGTAGGACAGTGCCGAGCCCTGTGCAGGACCATCACAGCCTCACCTCCCATGCTGTTCCATTCCCTCCTCCCACTCGCCGGATCCGCTGCCTGTGCTCTGTGCTCACCATCCATACACCAGTATCACGTCATGGTCATTGATCTTCTCAAAGGCAGACCGTGAGATGGCTTCAGCTGCCAGGACAATCTTCTCTCGCAGGTATTTGTCGATCACGTCCTGGAGCTTTTCCTTTGCCTGAGGAGAGACATCACATACAGACTTTCTTGCTCTCAGCAGCTCCCTGATTTGAGCCAGGTCAGGATCAGGCTCTTCCCCCTAGTAACAAGCTTTCAATTCCACTGCAGCACTGTTCTGTGTCTGCATCCCATCCCTGTTCAGCTCCTTCATCCAGGGCCTGGAGCCTGCCGCCACTGAGCAAGGCCACTCACCTCATCCTCTCTCAGAGTGTCAGGCAGGCATGATATCTCCTTCTTGAGGAACTTGATGGCATTGCCCATGCTGGCTGAGAGAGGCCGGCACTGGTTCAGGAAACTGCAGAAGAAATGGGCTTAGCTCCAAAGCAGCCTGGAGGGCCAACACAGGGAGAGGGAGGGTGGGCAGGAAGGCAGAAGCCTAGGAAAGTCAGCCAAAGTTTGGGTGGACACCAACCCAGAGATGTGAACAATGGACCAAACTCTGTGGAGCTTTGGTCCCTCTGCTCTGGCACTGAGAGCCCTTACCTGATGTGTGGCTTTAGCTTGGCCACCAAGTCCCGTGACAGCTCCTCATTGGGGGGAGTGGTGTAATCCCGGATCAGCTGAGACAAATAGAAAGGGAATATGGTCCCAGGGCACCCTGCCTAACGGGCTGCAGTCGGGGCACACATCCTGCACAGCCTGACACACTGCCTGGAGGGGCAAAGGGTGCTCCAGGGACTCAAAACAGCAGCGGCAGTGCCAGAAAAGGACCCGGCCTCCCAAAGGAAGAGGCTGAGGATGACTGACCACAGATACAGCCTCAGCAGTCAGTGTACAGGAACACACACCCGCATGCAGCACAGTGCCCCTGCTGCCAGGTAGCTACTCAGGTACCTGTTTGAAGACTTCGAGCAGCGCAATGCAGCGGGCGTTGGAGCCATTGATGATGCCCTGGGAGTACTGGAGGCCGAGGCGCACCACTGCTGGGTGGATCACTGTGGAGGGGATGCTGCAGGGACCAGTGGGAGGGAGCTGTCAGCACCTCTGCAGCCCAAAACACTCAACCCATTTATGAGCCCCAGCCCAACAACCTAAGGGATGGCCCAGGAGGGGGGCTGGTGGAAATCTGAGGAGCCAGGTTCTCCCCACAGCCCCCTCTCCTGTGGCCCTGCACTCTCCCCATAGGAAAGATATTGGGCTGCCCCTACTGCCACTCCCCAAAGCAAGTGAAACGTCCCCCACCACTCCATCAGGTGGATCCCACATGCAAGACTATGACACTCCTGCTCAGAGCCATTCTGCAGCCAGGCCAGCCAAAGCAGAACCCAGCACTGCCAGAGCCCCGGGCTGGGGAGGCCCTGTACCTCATCTGCTGCGTCAGTGGCTTCTTCCGGCTGTACTGGTGGAGGTGGGAGAACAGGTTGACCTTGGTGCCATAGTCCTGCCTCAGAGGTACCTGCAGCCGAGTGTTGTGATGGCTCACCCAGTGCTCTGCTCATCCCAGGGCCAGCAGTCACACCCAGCACTTGCTCAGGGCATGCAAAGTTCCCTTCTGACCTTCAGAGAGCAGGCCCTGGTCCCACCATGTGCCCCCCCAGGCCCTCTGCAGCACAGCTGCCCCAGGTGTGCAGCCTGTCACCCAGTCCTCCTCCTACCTGCTGCCTCTCCAGCTTCTTGGCCAGTTTCCTCTGAGCAGCAGGGTCATCCACCTGCACATGCTCCGGCAGCCGCTTCACCACTGCAACGACAGCTGAGATGAGGCCACCTGTTTTGGTGCACACCCAAATTCAGGGGAGGCACCCAGGGACAGGCAGAACCCAGAGCACGGATGGATCACATGGGCCTACTCTGCCTGTGCCCACACCAGACGCTTCCATCCTGCTCACCCACCCTCTGCACCCCGTGGTGGTGACAGCCTTACGGGACTGTGGCTCGGTGGGGCTCTGCCGGGGCTTGGCCGTCGTGGCTGCCTGGCTCAGCTCTGCCTTCCTGGCCTGCTTCTGGGCCCGCTCAGCCTCCTGCTTAGCCCGGCGCTCTGCTCGCAGCTCCGCTTTGCTCTTGCCCCCCGCGGGTTTCTCGCTGTCACCGGGGCCATCAGCGGAGGCGGGAGGGGATGTGGGCTGAGCAGCTGCTGCGGGGGAGGAACGGGGAGTCTGTGCCCAGCCTCGCCGGGAGATGCAGCCCAGTGCGAGGGGCAGTCAGAGCCCTCTGGGCCCTCGGGGGCTCCACGCCCCGGGCACCGCACAGCTGTCACGGCACCGGGGCAGCCCCGCGCTCCCGTGGGCAGGGGATTGGCTCTCTGTAAACGCGGCTGTCCGAGGGCACGGAGTGGGGCTGCACCCGCCGGAAGACACTGCCGGCCCGGGGCCCCGGGCCCGGCCCGGCGCTGCCCCGCTCGGGGCTCGGCGGGGCCGGCGGCGCTCACCCCGCGGCTGCCCCGCTTCGGGGGGCGCACACAGCTCCGCGGACTCGGTCGACGGCCCCTTCTCGCTCCTCTTCTTCTTCTTCTGCTGCTTCTTCTCCTTCCGCAGCTGCAGCTTCTCCTCCCGGGAGAGCTCCGGGGCCTGTGAGCACACACCGTCAGGAGGCCCCGACCCCGGGCGCCGGCCCCGGTCTCACGCCAGCCCCGGCCCCGCTCACCTGCGGTCCCGCCGGCACCGGCGCAGCTCCCTCGGGGTTCCCACCTAGAATGATGGGAGCGTGAGCGCGGCCGGGTCTCGTCCCGGGGCCGGTCCCCGTGTCCCGGAGTCGGTCCCCGTGAACCGGGGCCGGTCCCGCACTCACCCTCCCGCTCCGCCATGCCGCCCGTGCGCCGCCCGCAGCGCCCCCTGCCGGCCCGGCGGCCCCACGTGACCGCGGACGCGCGGCTCCTCCGCGGGGCGCGGTGACGTCACCCCGGTGCGGGCCGGCCGTTCCCGGGTCCCGCCCGCGGCCCCGCCCCGCCGGTCCCGTCCCCGCCGGCCGTTCCCGGGTCCCGCCCGCGGCCCCGCCCCGCCGGTCCCGTCCCCCGCCGGCCGTTCCCGGTCCCGCCCGCGGCCCCGCCCCGCCGGTCCCGTGCCACGCCTGGCGCGCGCTGCCGGGCCCGCCCGCGGCACCGCTCGGGGCGGGGCGGGCCGGGCAGGGCAGGGCGTCCCCGGGGCGGGCGCAGCGGGGCGAAGCGGGGCGGGTGAAGAGCGACGGCCCCGGGCGGGGCGGAGCGGGGCGGCCCTGGGGCGGGCGGTGCTGCCGGCCGCGCCATCGCGGGGAGTGCTGGCCCGAGATGGCGGCGGCGGGAGGCGGGTAGCGGGGGCGCGCTCGGCCTGGCCATGCACTTCTCCATTCCCGAGACCGAGACCCGCGCCGGGGACGGCGGCGCCGCCGCCTACGTGGTGAGCGGGGCCGAGGGAGCGGAGCTGTCCCGCAGAACGGAGCCGCCCCGCGGAGCCGAGTGGGTGGCGCGGCTCCTCGGCCCGGGTGCGGTGCGGCCCCGGTGGGGCCGTGCGGATCCGCAGCCCCGGCGCGGCGGGTCGGGATCAGCGCTGGGACCGCGGCCGGGCGAGGCGGGCAGGTCCCGGCCCGCCGCCGTCCCCGGCCGGCGCCCCGTGTCACGGCCGAGCAGGGATTGGGCCCCGCCGCCCCCGCGCCTCCGGATCGGGCGCGGGAGGTCCCTGGAACAGCCCCGGGGGTGTCCGGACCTTGCCCTGCCCGGGCGCCGCGGGCGGGGGTTGGCAGCCCGCAGGGGCCCCGTCCGGTCTCATCCCCAGCTCCGGCTCATCCTGGCCCGCCCGTCCGTCCGTTTGTCCCGGCTTCCTGTTTTGGTCCCTGCGCCGTGAGCGCCTCCGGAGAGGAGCCGGGGGACGCCGCCGCCGAGTGGCGGTGGCTCTCAGCGCCCAAAGCCCCTTTCCTGGGGCCGGCAGAGCCCGCGGGCTGGGCGGAAGGTCCGGATCGGTGCTCTCGGGGTAAGGGTGGGCAGCCCTGGGTTTCAAGACCCACGCTTGCCCCCCGTGATGAAATACTTCTCTGGGGGATCCCCCTCGGGACCCCGAGGTGGGGCACGGTGCAGTGGTGAGTGGTGATGGAGAGACCTGGCAATCCTACAGTTGCTCAAGGGCCACAGGAGCAGGCAGCCCTTTAGGCGTTTCATCCTTGTGACTCCCCCTGCACTTTGCCCTCCGCTGCTGCCGAGGCTCCTCAGGCCTGGGGGAGACCTTGGGGAGAGCCCTTGGGCAGCCCGGGGGCTTGGCAGGATCTGTGACCTCATGGAGAACCCTGGTTTGGGCAGGTGTGGGTGCTGTCTGTATCACTGCTGTCCCTCCTGGTTCCTCCACAGTAACCCTGAGGCGCTGGGCTGGTGGTGCCTTTGGGTGGGGAGGTGCCAGTGTGAGCTCCAGCCTGGCTGGGCTGGCACCTCTGCTGGGCCTTGGGCAGTCCCAGCGCTGGGGGCACCCATGGGAGGCTGGGCTGCCATGGCTCGAGGCTCATGCCCATCCTCTGGCCCTCCCAAAGAGTGCTGTGGGGATGGCAGGACTTGGGAGGACAGTGCTGTCCCCTGCAAGGACTCTGCCTATGGTGAGGTGCCGGGAGCTGGCCCATGGAGTTGCCAGGCCCTGAGTGTTCTGCAGTCATAGCTGTGCTCTGCCTGTGGCGTCAGCAGGAGCTGAGCCAGAGCAGAGGGGCTGCAGCCAGGGGCCAGCTCCTTGTGAAGCCCTGGGAGGAGGGAGGGGTGTCCTGTTGGCATGGCTGCAGGGCTGCAGTGTGGCTCTGTGCTCCCCATGGCTGGGCAGACAGGGGCAGACCTTCCTGGTGTGCCGTGGGCACATCTCTTGGATGTGCTCATACTTCTTGAACGATTTTGACCATCTGCCCTTTGGCAGATCCTCAGGACTATTGCATTTTCCTGGGTGTTCCCTGGCATCCTGGGCAGGTCCTGGGATTCCTCCACCTGCCAGGTGCTGAGATCTGACTGGCCTCTTTCGCTGCAGGCCTACAACATCCACGTGAACGGGGTGCTGCACTGCCGGGTGCGCTACAGCCAGCTCCTGGGCCTGCATGAGCAGGTACGGAGGGCACCGGGGTGCCCACTCCTGCTCTGTGACATTCCATCGGGGTTCTTGCATACTGCTGGACTCCCACATGGATAAGGGATGCTGGCAAGCTCTCTGCTCCCCTTGCTAGGTCCCTGGGGATCAGCGAGGGTGGGGGATGAGGGCAGGCACCGTCTCTCTGGAGGCTCTTGCAGCACTCTGTTCTCATCCTAGTTAAGGAAGGAGTATGGCGCCAATGTGGTCCCAGCCTTTCCCCCAAAGAAGATCTTCACGCTCACCCCAGCAGAGGTAGAGCAGCGACGGGAGCAGCTGGAGAAGTACATGCAGGCTGGTAAGCTGGGCCTGCCCTGGCCCGGTTGTGCAGGGCACGGCCCATGGCTTCCTCCCTGCACTGCTCCGTTTGCCATGGTGCATCTTGCAGCTCCCAGTGTAGCACTGGCATTTGATGGGCTTGTCCCCTTGGATGCCAGCTCCTATCCCAGCCTGTGCCCTGCCCTGGCAGAGTGGGGATGTGCAGGGGGCTCCCTGGCTGCCACAGCATACACTCTGAGGGCAAACTGTGGGGCTGCAGAAGGGCCAGGCACTGCTGTGGGTCCCTGCCCCTTCCCATGGGACTCCTGACTCCTCGTACCCCTTCCTGCAGTGCGTCAAGACCCAACGCTGGGAGGCAGCGAGACCTTCAACAGCTTCCTGCGCAAGGCCCAGCAGGTGAGGGGCAGAGCTGTAGTGGGTCTGGGGCCCCCAGTCTGCGCTGAGGGGCCGGGTGCCAGTCCTGTTTCTCTCTCCAGGAGACGCAGCAGATCCCCACAGAGGAGGTGGTGCTGGAAGTGCTGCTCTCTAACGGGCAGAAGGTCAAGGTCACCATCCTTACGTCGGACCAGACAGAGGATGTCCTTGAGGTGCCAGAGCTCTCATGCTGGGTGGGACCAGCCCTTCCTGCTGCGTTTCTGTGGTTTCCCACATGTGTGGGGCTCTCTCAGCCTGGTAGCCTCTCCTGCCCTCCCCTGCCATCTGCCCACCTGGAGCAGGGTTGACTTGGTGGGGCTGAAAGCTGGGAGCTGAAATGGGTGTGCTGCAGGGTGTGTCTGGGTCCCGACTGATGTTTGGGGTCCCCTAGCTGTTTCCTGGTTGCAAAGAGCCCCAGGCCTGGCTGCAGGGCAGCAGAAGTGCTGCCTTCCTGCTGTTGGGAGGTCCCAGAATACACATGGGCTGGGTCTTGCCACCATATTGGGACTATATTGGGATTATCCTGCTTTTCCTCCCAGGCTGTGGCCTCCAAGCTGGATCTGCCAGATGACCTGGTTGGCTACTTCAGCCTCTTTCTAGTGAGAGAGACCAAGGATGGAGCTTTCTCCTGTGAGTGGGACATCTGCTCTGCCCCCTGCCTTGAGTGAGGGCTTTGTGCTTGGACCCTACTCTGGCTGGGGGCACAGCTGTTTTCCTCGGGACACCCTGGTGTTGGGGGCCATGGGGCTCCTGCTGCCCAGAGCTGCTGCTGAGCCGGCATTTCCCCGCAGTTGTGCGAAAGCTGCAGGAGTTTGAGCTGCCGTACGTGTCGGTCACCAGCCTGCACAACCCCGAGTTCCAGATCATCCTGCGCAAGAGGTGAGCGGGGGCTGTGGGGCAGCAGTGGGGTGGTGCCCAGGGCTCCCTGTTCCACAGAAGGACCCTGCCCTCCTGCCATTGCTGCCCACAGATGCTTTGGCCCCCAGGAGCACACCTGAACATCCCTGACCGTGACACTGGAGCATGGGCGGCCCTGCTGTGCTCAGCTCATTTCTGCCTTCCCATGGCAGCCGGTTTGGGTGGGGAGCAGGTCATGGTGATGGATGGTTAGGGAGGAGCTGGCCAGAGAGCCAGCCTGCAGGAGGGTGATTTTCTCTTCGTTGCTGTCAAGAAGTGGGGAGGAGGCTAACCCGCGTGGTTCCCTTCCAGCTACTGGGACTCGGCCTATGACGACGATGTGATGGAGCATCGCGTGGGGTTGAACTTGCTGTATGCACAGGTGAGCGTTGGTGTGGCACAGCCATGTGAGGACAGACACTGCACCCCTTGGCCACAGCTGTGCAGGGGCTTGGGTGGCTCCGGTCCCAGGCGCTCATCAACCTCTGCTGCTTGTAGACGGTGTCAGACATTGAACATGGATGGATCCTTGTCAACAAGGAACAGCACCGGCAGCTGAAGTCCCTGCAAGAAAAGGTCTCCAAGAAGGAGGTAGGACAGGGTACAATGCCATGATGAGCAGTTCTGGCTCTGTGTGACGTGTGGTACTGGGCTGGTCACCTGTTCCTGGCCCGGGTGAGCATCCCTGGCTCTGCCTGCAGTTCATCCGCCTGGCGCAGACCCTGAAGTACTACGGTTATCTCAAGTTTGACCCCTGTGTCACCGACTTCCCCGAGAAGGGCTGCCACGTCGTCGTCAGTGCCGGCAACAACGAGCTCAACTTCCAGGTGCGGCTGCCGAACGAGCAGATCAAAGAGGGCAGCTTCAAGGTCACACGCATGCGGTGCTGGCGGGTCACATCCTCGGTGAGTGACGCCTGGAGAGCAGGGAGGGGTCTGGGGGGCTGGAGAGACCCGGCTGGGCCAGGCTGGGCCGGTACCTCTTCCTAGGAAAGGTGCTGGCTCTGACACCAACTTCTGGCCCAGTAGGCCTGGAGAGGGTCTGAACCATGCCTTGGGGCTGAGGGGATCACTGCTGTCAGGATATTGGAGGGGACTTGACAGTGGCAGACCAGTGGGCACAGGGCAGGCGTCCCACGCTTGGCTTGGTGCTGCCCTTGAGCTGCACCAGCGTCTGGGGAGCTGCTCCTTCCCCTCTGGAGGCTCCCAGCCGTGGTGTATGTGTGTCCTTGCAGGTGCCGATGAACAATGGCCCTTCGGGGAGCAGCCCAGGGAAATCCGAGGTGAAGCTGGAGTTGGCTTTTGAGTACCTGATGAGCAAGGACCGGCTGCAGTGGGTCACCATCACCAGCCCACAGGTAGAGCTGCCTGTGTGAGGGGAAGGGCTGGGCTGGGCCCTGCATAGGGTGTGGGAAGGCTGTGGGGTGCATAGAGCCCTGTGACACTTCTCCCTTGCAGGCCATCATGCTGAGCATCTGCTTGCAGTCCATGGTAGACGAGCTGATGGTGAAAAAATCGGGAGGCAGCATCCGCAAGGTGAGGGTTGGGGCTCGATGGCTCTGGAGTGGGATCCCAACTGGCCCTGTGACGTCCTAGGGCCTGGAGGGGTCCTGAGTGCTCCCCTCGGGATGGGACCAGCATCCCCAGGGCCAGTTGTAAGCCCAGAGCTGACGCTGGAGCCCCTGTGGCTAAGCTGCGCTCCTCCCTGCAGATGTTTCGGCGGCGGGTGAACGGGGCCCTGCGGCGCTCGGACAGCCAGCAGGCTGTGAAGTCACCCCCGCTGCTGGTGAGTGGGACCTGCAGCCCTGGGGGGGGGGAACGTGCGCAATCACAGCTCTGACACGTTGTGTACCAGAACTCACTGCCTCCAGAAGAGCCACTGTCCCCGTGGCAGGGCTGGGGAAAGCCCAGAGGACAGCAGGGCTGTAGTGTCCTGCTTCCAAAGCCCTGGGAAGGGAAACAGGTCCTGGACCAACTCAGTGAGCCAGACTCCCTAGGGACGGAGGGGACAGGTAGAAGGAGAGCAGGGTGTTGTGTCCCATGACCCTGTGCTGCCCAACTGTGCTGTCCTCACAGGACTCACCTGATGCCTCCTGGGAGCCCATGGCCAAACTCTCGGTGAGTTGTGTGTGGAAGCACCAGAGACCTCGGGCTATGGGGAGGGGAGCTAGTGGTGTCCTCTCTAACATCTCCCTTCCCCACAGAGCAAGCTCACTTCTGTCAGCCTGCGTGGGATCAGCCACTCCAGCTCTGCAAACGACGTGGGTGCTAATGACTTCCACGGCAATTACGCCTTTGAGGGCATTGGTGATGAGGATCTGTAGTGCCCCTTCCCAGGACAGCCCCAGCCCGAGCAAGGGCCTTCGCTGAGGAATGTACGACCTGCAGCCAGGTTGCAATCAACGTGCCTCTCACCTGCTACAACCACCTTTCCCTGCTCCCCGGGGCTGGAAGCTCGCCCCCAGCCCACCATTGCCTTTGGGGTGGGGGCAGCTGAACTCCTCCCGCTGCTGGCTCCAGCTGGGAGAGGGCTTGTTTGACCTGAACAGTTTGCCCGGGCAGAGCCCTGGAGCTGCAGTGCAGGGCCTGGCCCAGCCTGGGGGCAGAGCAGCTCCTGTCCCAGCTGGGAAGGCCTGGCCCAGCCTGGGGGCAGACCCAGGCAGGCTCCATAATGCCAAATTAGCATTTAGGTTTGTGCTCCGAGACAGAGCGCAGTACGCTGTCTCAGGGGCTCCGCGCAGAGTCCCCTCTAACCCGCTCATAGACGCCAGCATAATCTAGGCTTGTAACTACGTATCTCCTGCTGCTCAGCCCGACAGAGCATTAATGGACAGTAACTGATGTTTACACACTGCAACAATGATTAAAACGGATCCTGATTGGTACCAGCTGTCTGTTGGGGGGTGGCTGCTGACCCTCCCTTCTCTGTGCCAGCCCTGCGCTGTCCTCCTCTGTAGCAGAACAAGGCCCCCAGCGTGAAAAGCAGATAACAAAACTGACTGTTTAATGCTTTTATACACAATATAAATTACACCGACCAGCACGGCAACAGCCATGGAACCAGTCCTGTTCCCCCCTCCCCCCTTTTCCCCAGGCCCCGGCAGAGGAAGGCTCCGGCAGGCAGAAACAGGCAGGCGGGGCGGCTGGGGACGTGGCAGTGCTGCCACACGGGCAGGGGTCAGAGCCGCTGGTCGTGACTTCACCCTGCCCAGGCAGGACAGGGCTGCTGGAGGCCCCAGTGTGCCTCTGGGCCTGCTGTAAGGCAGCCCTAAGCCCCCGTGGAGTTGCCTGCCTGTCCTCCCTCCCGTGGGGAGGGCAGGCACCGCGGCACCCCAGGCCCACTGCCGAGCTAAGTGCTGTCTCAGGGCAGGGCCGTGCCCACGGCTGGGGGGGCCAGCAGGGCTTTGGCATTGCGTGGGTTCACCCAGCTCTCGGCTGTGTGGCCGTGGATCTTCTGGTGGCGCTTGTAGTTGTCCCAGTGACCAGTGGTGTAGGAGCAGTCCCGGCACTGGAAGGGCTTCTCGCCCGTATGCCGCAGCATGTGCCGCTTCAGGTTCATGCTCTGGTTGCAACTGTAGCTGCAGAGGCTGCACTGGAAGGGCTTGTCGCCTGAGTGGATGCGCCCGTGACGCTTGAGGTTGGCCAGGTTGCCGCAGGCATAGTCGCAGAGCTGGCACTTGTAGGGCTTCTCGCCTGTGTGCACGCGCTGGTGCCGCTTCAGGTTGTCCAGGTGGGCGGAGGCGTACGGGCAGAGCGGGCAGGCGAAGGGCTTCTCCCCGCTGTGCGTCTTCATGTGCCGCGCCAAGTGGTTGGGGTAGTGGGTGACGAAGGGGCACAGGCTGCAGGCAAAGCCCTTGTCCCCAGTGCCCTTCTGGGGGCTGGCACCCGGCTCGGTGCCCAGCACCGCCAGGCTGCAGCGCCCACAGACCTGCTCGGCCAGGCCCTCGTCCTGTGCGAACCCGTCGTCCAGCACCAGCCCGCACATGCGGCACGTGAAGGGGAAGAGCAGCTCGGGCAGCGCAGCCGCCTCCTCACCCCGCAGCCGTGCGCAGCCGGGCAGGAAGGGGCCGCTGCCACTGCCCACGTGCAGGCTCAGCTCTGGCAGCAATGGCTCTGCGGGACAAAGAGATGGGGTTGTGAGCTGAGTGGCACAGCACCAGCAAGGACTGGCTCTGTGACGACCCACAGTGCCCCGGCGAGCCTGGCAGTAACACGGCTTTGGGTCAGTGGCAGGATCTGTGCCCTGTGCCAGCCCCACAGCCCCGGTGTAGCTCTCCCCACAACCCCACACCCTCCCACCTTTACCTGGGTCCTTTTCCCGTCGGTGTGGCCCCTCGCCCTCAGGCAGGCGGTGGCTGAGCATGTGCCGCTTCAGGTTGCGGCTCTGGTTGCAGCGATAGTCGCAGGCAGCACACTGGAAGGGCTTGTCCTGGCTGTGGACCCGCTCGTGGCGTTTCAGGTTGCCCAGGCTGCTGCAGGCGAAGCTGCAGCACGTGCAGCGGTACGGCTTCTCCCCAGTGTGCGTGCGCAGGTGCCGGGTCAGGTTTACCAGCTGGGCAGAGGCGTAGGCACACTGCGGGCAGGCGAAAGGCTTCTCCCCATTGTGTGTCTTCATGTGGCGCTTGAGGTGGCTGGAGTAGTGGGAGGCGAAGGGGCAGAGCTGGCAGGAGTAGACGATGCGCTGGCTGCGGCCGCCCTCGGCGCCGGCGCACTGCAGGCAGCTCTGGCCCAGGCTGGCAGCCAGCTGCAGCCCGCACTGGCGGCAGGGCAGGGCGGCAGGGCCAGGCTCACCCCCCTCCTCGGGGTCGCTCTCCACGCTCAGCTGCTGGTAGCCAGAGGAGCAGTCGTCGTCGCTCAGGGCATATGCTGGAATAGCGATCTTCCCCACCAGTGTGTCTGCTGAGAACACCGTGGGGATGGGGCGGTGTCAGCCTGGCTGACCTGGGCACAGCCCCTCTGCCTACAACCCCAGTCCCACCCCATGGCACCCAGCAGGCAGTGAGCAGCCCCACTGCCATGGCCTGCCCTACCACCCTGCTGAGGGCTGTTCTGGGTGTCCCGGGAAACCCTGATGCTTCTGCGTGGCTGGCCAAGACCCTGGCACCAGGAAGGGTGAGGGGATGGGTGGATCCATCACCCACCGGCACTGCTGGGCCTGGTGGGTAGGAGGTGGTGGGCACAGCCTGGCCCAGGCTGGAGAAAGGGGTGCCCCTAAAGCTGCTCTGTGCCCCTCTCACTGTGCCACTGCCCCAGCCCCGGGGTGGGCGGCTGGCACCAGGGGGCTCCAACACCAGCCCTTTCTACCCTGCAGGAAACATTCCCCTGCCCCACACAGTGCCACTGTCTGGTGGCATCAGGGAGAAGGCTGTGCCAGGCTCTCAAATGGAGCTCCTCAGCTGGGCACAGACTCATCCTTCTGCAGCCCCTGTGCTCCACATGTGCACCCAGGCTGGTGTTCGGGGCTGGAGGGACAGCTCAGCACGACCAGCTGAGCCATGCCCTGCTGGCCCCGTTCTGTGTCTGACCTGCAGCCCTGGGGCCTGTCAAACTCAGCAGCTGCCCACAATCCCGGGAACCACCCTGGACTGTCCCCTTGCTGCTGCCAGCCGGCTGTGCCCAGCTGCCGGAGCCCCAGGCAGGTGCAGGGATGAGGCTGAGCTATGCTGTGGGATGGGGAGGCCCCTCCAGCCTCCCAGCCCCTTCCGCAAGCACTGCCAGAAACACAGACATCAGAAAAGGCCTGGCTCTTACAGGGGAACTCTTGACCCTGCCTCAAGCCCTCTGTCAAGGGATCCCGTTTATTCTCAGCTCAGCCCCAGCCCCAGCATGGGACCCAGCTGTCCCTTTGAGGGAACCCCCTGTCCCCTCAGCGCAGCAGTGCCACAGCATGCCCAGAGCACCGCCCCCCAAATGGTCACGTCAAGTGCCCTCACGGGACAGCTTGTCTGTCCCGACTGTCAGTGGGCTGAGGTCCTCGTTCTGCTCCTCAGCTGGGGCGGAATGGGAGGACAGCTATTCCCGGCAGAATGTCCCCAAAGCCCTGTCAGGCTCCTAGGGCTACCAAGCAGCCGTTCCAGGGCAGGGAAGCACAGTCCTCAGAGCAGCCCCATCTGCCCGGCAGCTGGGACTGAGCCTCAGTGGCAGAGCAGGAGCAGGGCACAGCCCAGCAGCCGCTGAGCGCATGGACCAGGGCACAGCCCCGGGGACAGCGCGGGGACAGGGACACGGGGCTGGACAGTCCGTGCTGTCATCTCTGCCGTTCTGCTCCCGCGCTGCTCGGTGCCCGAGGCGGGAGTGACTCCCGCCGGTCCCGTGAGCAGCTCCGTGGAGCTGAGCAGCGCTCGCTGCCTCAGCCGGGGCTGGCCCAGGAGCACCGGCGGGACAGGCGCTGCCCAGCACCGGGCCGGGGTGCCGGGGCTGAGAGCGCTCCGTCCCGCCCGCGGTGCCGACGGGAGGGCTGGAATGGGAGTCGGGGCTGAGCGCTCCGGTGGCTCCGGGATGAGCCCGGCGGCGGCTGCGTGGCGCGGCCCCAAACCTACCGCGGGGACACGTCGTGCCCGGGACTCTGGCGGGGAGGAGCACTCGGGGATCGGTGCCGCGGCTCAGTGCCGGGCCGGCAGAACCCACCCGCGGGCCGGGGGCCGGGCCTCCCCCGTGAGAGGAAGCTCGACCGGAGCCCGCGCCGGGCGGGCCCGTGGCAGGGCGGGCCCCGCCGGATGCGCCGAGCGCGGGGCCGGTAGGGCCCAGCCGGGCCGCGTCGCCGCCGGCGGGGCCGCCGGAGAGGGGCGGCGTCCCCGCGGGGGCCGCACGCACCTGGCGGTCCCTTCTCGGAGGCCGGGCCACGGCCCAGCAGCAGGTCCCCGGGCAGCACCACCGCCGCTCTCGCCGTCTCCTCGGTGCCATCCTCGGCGTCCGCTGCAGCGCTCCGAGCGCCGCGGGTCCCCGCCGGGCCGCCGCCGCCGCCCCCCGGGCCCGCCGCGCACTCACCCTTCACCGGCTGCGGGTGGCTCTGCTTCCGCCGGGGCATCGTGGCGGGCCCCGGCGCCGGCCCGGCCCCGCCGCCCGCCCGCCCGCGGCCCGCCAGCCGCCCCCGCCAGCCCGGGGCGGCCGCCGCCGCCCCGCCTCGCCCGGACACTTCCGCTTCCGCTTCCCCGGCCGCGCGGGGGCTGTGCCGGAAGAGGCCGCGCGACCCGGAAGCGGCGCGGGCGCGTGCGCGGGGCAGCGCCGCCGCCCGGCCCCGTCGGCGCCGCGGCCGCGGCATGAGGGGAGCGGGCCCGGCCCGGCGGGCGAGGGGCCGGGCCGAGCCGGGCCGGGGAGAGGCGGGCCGGGCCCGGCGGCTCGGGCGGGGGGCGGGGCGGGGCGGCACGGCAGCAGCTCCGCCCCTTCCGGCCCGCGTGAGGCGGCGGCCCCGGCGGGACCGGGCCGCTACCGGACGCTGACGGTCTCTGTGCCTCTTCAGCGGCGGCTGCGGCTCCTCCCCCGGGGCCCTCCGGGTCCGGCCCCGCCGAGCGCCGGCGCGGAGGGCAGACCCCGGTGAGTTCCTTGCCGGTGTCCCCGCGCGGTCACACCGGGGACACGCGGGGCTCGGCGTCTCGCCCTCCAGGCCCCAGGGCCGCTGGCTGTCCGGTCACGCCGCGCTCTGGCCGATCACAAAGGTGCTCGGTGCGGGGAGCAGCTCAGCCGTGTCCCCGCGCTGTGCCCGATCCCCACCCGCATCCCTCGGTCCGCGCTCCCGGTGGCTCCGCTCCGTTACCGCGCTCGGCCTCTTCACGAATCGCTGCTGTCCCTCTGCAGGTCCCAGGGCGCTGGATGTGCCGGGCTGTGGCCGTCCCGGGGAAGCCGTGGCCGTGCCGTGCCGCCAGCGATGATTCCCCGCTGACACGTA